TTTTGAGGGGAAGGGGATGTCTGGAGGGTAGGAATCCTGCAACTACTTTAGAGTAAATCTTTCAGACTGATGTTCAAAAACTATTAGGTCTCTCAGAAAAAAGGCTAAAGCAGTTAAAGTAACTTTAAGCAAATTAAGAGTGTTAAATTAACTTGAAGCAGGTAAAAAATTGACCCAGTCATAAAAGGATTTGGAATTTTTGCTATCACCTCATAGAGATGTAAGTTTGATTAGTTTGTTTTGATATTTTAAATGTCTTACTTTGAGTAGTATTTGGTTTTTAAAATACTTTTTCTGTAAATGTGTGATTTAAAAATATCCTCAGGTATTAAATTTTACAACTAAAATTTTTCCAAACCAATGTAGTTCATTTTATTATGTGCCAGTCAGAACATAGGAATTGATGTTTATGTCCGTGATTTATGTCTACATTTTTAGGAGGCCTTCTACAAAATGATGTTGATATTTTGGACTACACTCTGGCAGAAGTAAACCTGAATATCTGAAATGAAAAGGGAGATGGAATCATATTTACTTTCAGAGAAAGCTAATTTTAATGTAAACCTTTAAGGATGGAATAGTTTGTTGAAGGGGTATGGTTTTATGGAAAATCGACAGGCATTTTATCAGCTTTTCTTGCAGAAACTGAAGAGGGAATAAAAAATGTATTTATTTAATTTATTATTTTAATCTGTAGTAACTCACAAAATTACTAATCTTCCATTAGTGCAGTTAATATCTGTAACATAAAGTTTAACTCTCATCACAGAAATGAATATAAGTAAATCCGTAGTCCACTACATTAAGTTGTATTCTAAAGTTAAAGTGTCATAGCTCATTCTTAAAAATTTGTGTAAAAAATAACAAATCGCTAAGAAAATACCAACTCATTTTGCAATCATATATTTTTAACAGTGATTTAAATAATTTTTGGTAATCATTTCAGGTTTATTTTAATTATTTAACTTATAAGGTATTAAAATTTAATGTTGGATGCCAACATTCTTGATCTATTTCCTGCATTTTTAGATTCTCATATTTGCAAACTTTATATTACAAATCACAAATACAATGAGGTCTAGTGTGTTTAAAGCTATTTATAGATAAATCCTCCTAAGCTGTTTATGAAAGTTTAAGTAAAACTTTTCCTAAAAAAAACCTTTATTTTTCAGCGTTGCATTACTTTCCAGAATACCAGTGGCTCGTGGATTTCACAGTGGCTGCTACAGTTGTGTATCTAGTAACTGAAGTCTACTACAATTTGATGAAGCCCACACAGGAAATGAATATCAGCTTAGTCTGGTGCCTGCTTGTTTTGTCTTTTGCAATGTATCCTTCAAAACATCATTAATATTAATTTATGGATTTGTTTTCCTATTGCAACTAACACCATTAAATCTCATCTCTGTTTTGAAAAAGATTTTAGATTATTAGAGAATTTTCTTTGTTTAAATCCTCTTTACTTAACTGAAGAAATTTTCAAAGGAGAAGTATATAGTTTAAAAAGTGAAATATAAGAAGAGATACCAGTACTTTGCCTTTCCTTTTCTATCTGAGTCTCATGTCACAGAGGAGTCACTGTTACCTCTTTTAGGTATTTCTTTTGAAATTTCCTTCGTATGTTTAAATATTATGTGATGATGATACTTCTTTAATTTTAGATATTATTGCAGTTTCTCCCCCTTCCTTTTCCTTCTCCTATTCTTTCAAAATAGTAAGGAGACAACTTTTTTATTAAATCACTTGTTTTTAGTTATGCTTATGAAAATATTATTTATAGCTAAGCATTATAGTGTCCTGTACCTTCCTTGAACAATTTTTCTTCCTATAATATAGAAGCTAAACTCTTGTACAGAATTCCGAACCTCATTAGTTCAAATACATCATTTCTATTTTGTTTTCCAATGGAAATTTCCTCCTGAAGCCTTCGGTTCTCTAACTTCCTGCACAGCTGTCATCCTGGGCTTTTCTTCGCTGTCTTCCTAAGAGTTCCCGGTGCCTCCTTTTGGATCGCATCGCTCCTCTTCCTGGGTTTACTCTCCTTTTGGCAGAGTGCATTCTTCTCTAGTGTCCTCACAAAAGGTGGTAAAGTTTTTTTGAAATCTTTATTTTAATTTCCCCCCATCTCAATTCATAGTTTGGCTCAATACAGATTCTAGGAAAGAAATAGTTTTTCCTCAGAGTTTTGAAGGCTCCTGAGACATTGGATACCCTCTTACTTTTAGCATATGCCTCCCCTTCCCCCTCTTACATACACCCCGTTGAGGCTTTTTCTCTTTATCCTTTAAGTATTCCGAAGTTTCATTATGAATTAAGTTCTAGGTTGAGCTTTTAAGTCTGGAAGCCCATTTCCTTTACTGCTGGGCAATAGTTTTGTTTTCTTTTTTCTTATTTTTATTAAAACTAAACATTTTCCCCTCCATTTCCACCTCTCCATAGGCAGCTTCTTCCAGGTCCTTTCCATTTGACATTTTCATCCGTATTCCATATGCATACAAGGCCACTGCTTGACTTTAGTTTCAGGCTTTAACTCTTGTCATTTCACTCTGGAAATGAGGACTTAGCACATCTGCCTGGGCTGTCACCTACTGCTCTTCATTTCCCATTCCTCTCATCTTTCGAATATAGTATGTCATTTTTTAGAAGAATATTCACTGTGTTATCATGTATACACTATTCATAGATAAATACTTGTCTTAATTTTCCATTTGCATTGTTTTCTTTGTACATATCATAAATTCAGCCTCAAACTCTTCTGGGTCTATAAATCTCTCAACATGTTCAGAAGCTTCAGGTGGTATATCAATTTGATCTTTTTAGTGAGAGTTCTTCTGGAGCCCTCAGATAGGCCCTGGTCTGGATTAATTAACCTTCCCAACTGATGTACAGCTAGCCTCCTGGAAGTACCAGTTATCTTCTTAGGGATTCTCTTTGCACATCTTGAATTGCAGCTCTTTTTCTTATATTCCATGTCTCCCTCTTACTTGGCTTACTTTCTCATTTTGGTGGAGCATATCCTCCAGTATTATCTCCAGAAAGGTTGCATGGGAAGTGCATTTTTTGTGACCTTGCATGCTTGAAAATATTTTTATTCTACTTGAACATTAATTGATCTTTTGATTGAGAGTGAAATTCCAGGTTTAAATTCATTCTCTTGATAACATTGAAAACATTATTTTATTATCTTTGAAGTTCCATTTTTGCTTTTTAAGAATTCCAATTGCCATTCTAATTTCTGATTTTTCATATATCATATTTTTTTCTTTGTGAAACCTTTACCGTCTTTTCTTTAGCCACTTATTGTGTTGAAATTTTATGATGATGTGTTTTTTCGAGGATCTGTTTTTATCCATTGTGCTGGGACTTTACCATTCTGGAAATTCACGTTCTTGACTTCTGGAAAAATTTTCTTGAATTATTTTATTTGTGACTTCCTTTTCTCCATTTTCTGTTTCTGGAATGCTTATTGTTCAGATATTTGATCTCCTAGACTGATTCTCTAAGATTTTTATCTTCTTTCTCTCATACATATGTTTATGTTTGTATTTCTGTACTTTTTAATTTTCTGGGAGATTTTCTCAACCTTTTAAACCTGTGTTTTTGTTTTTAATTTCTGCTATTATTTTTAATTTTCAAGAGCTATTTTTCTTCTACTTCTCCCCCACTGTGGAGTCCCTCTTGGTTTATGCTTACATTATCTTCTAGTGTCTGAGATACTGATAGATTTTGTAAAAGTTTTCTCTCTGCCAAGTATCTTTTTACTCTAAATTGATTTTATTTGTTTGTTTGATCTGGTTGCTATCTTTCATGTTAAGATTTTTCTTAGAAAGACCTGGTGATCCATATTTGCCTGTTTATATTTAAGTATGAGGCACTAAAAGGCTGAATGGAAGCTCTGAGCATGTGGTGAGGCAAGTGGTTGGATCATCTGGATAGGTCAGAAATCATCTTTTTTACCCTCTCCAAAGGAGAAATATCCAGACTTCTTTCTGGTGGGAACAGTTTGAACTGGTTGCTTTTTACAAGTACTTCCTTTTACTAATACTTATTTTTAATGCCTCCTGTGACCCCCGACACACGTGTTTATACTTTCACCCTGATGTGGAGAAGTACATGGTATCTGACCAATTCCTTTTCCTTTCTGGGAGTTCTGCAGTAAAATTAGATTTCATCTTGGCTTTCTCAATGAGTTTCTACATTCTGTTTAGTCATTTACCACTGAATCCGCCTGCTTTTTAGCTTCCAAGATGTTACTGCTTTTTCTCTTCTTATTCATTGTATTTATTACTGAAAAACAAATTCCTTTACTGTCATTTTGGTGGGGATTAGGGAGAGGCCAAAAGTAAGTCAGTGTGTTCAGTCTGCTATTTTTATCCAGAAGTTCTGTGTTGTCTCTTTTGTGTGATTCTCTGTTTTCTGTCTTCTTTTTCAAGAGCTCTTGTTAGTGAGATGTTTAATTTCTTTGAATGATTCTTTAATTTTCTTATCTCCCCGTTGCCATTTACTTCATCCTATTTTCTTGATTTTTCTCTTAATTTTCTCTTCTAACCATCTGTTGAATTTTTTATATCAACTGTTGTTTTTTTAATTTTTAAGACTTTTTTTCTTTGAATGTTCTGTTTTCAGAACATTTTTGTGTCATGGATGTCTATATTTCTAAGGATATTAATATCTTTTAAGTTTTAGTTTGAACTTTGTATTGTTTATTTTCTGAGTTTCCCTCTCCCCTTTTTGTTTTAATCACTGTCACGTTAAAGGTTGTTCTCAAATGTCTTGTGATCTTTGAGTATCTGTTTATATTCAGGAAGGAAGCATTAAAAAATTGGAAGTTTTTATCCAGCCCTGTGGTGTAGTGGTTAAGTTCAGTGTATTCCACTTTGGTGGCCTGGCTTCACAGGTTTGGATCCCAGGTGCAGACGTGTACTGCTCATCAGCCATGCTGTGGCGGTGACCCACATATAAAGTGGAGGAAGGTTGGCACATGTTAGCTCAGGACAAGCAAAAATAGAGGAGGATTGGCAACAGATTTAGCTCAGGGCTAATTGTCCTCAGCAAAAGAAAAGAAAAAAATTGAGAATTTTGTGCAAGTGGCTGGAACTTGTAGGTTGGTGGGCCTTTTAGTGGATGATTGAGTGGAGACCTGGCAGTATCCTTGTGGGACACTAAATATCAGTGTCTACAGGTTGTTGGGCCTATCATTTGCTCAAGAGAAGAGCTGTCCATTCTCCCATCTGTGGGAGCTGTGCTAGCTTTCTGTTGACTCTTTTGGATTGATTTAGATATAATTTGGACCAGAATAAAGCCTTAAGAGTTGACATTTTCACAAAGTATATATTGTACTGGGTAGAAATAGTGATCATGTGTGTCAGTTGATAAACATCCCCAGTTATCCAGTGTTATACTAATTTCAAGAGCAGATAAATTCAAGCATTTAAAACATTACTATTTAATTCTATAGTATTAAAGATCTGAAAGTACCGTTTAGTCAGAATAAAGTCCCATCCCTAGACGTCATCATATGAAACACACTAAAAATATTTTTAACTTGGTAATTAGCACCAGCTTACTATATGTCATGTTACTTTTTCATACTTTGAATTCTCATGTTCTCTGAAATACTGTTTATTGTGGAATATTCTTGTCTTTGCTTCGTTTTCTTTGTGGTTTATAGATATGGTGTTAAAATAGCATTTATGGTATTTATGTAGAAATGTATTATTCTTGATATCCAGTTTTATTTAATGTGATGCAGCTCTTAATACCTACTTACTAGAGAAATTAGAAAAATGTACTTCTTAATAGCTACTCAAATTGTTGTTTATGTGAATAAATTTCATCTTTCATTTCACTCAGTAATGCCTAATAATGTGAGAGCAAAGGTCCGACACAGTCTTTAGCGGTGAACTGGCTCTGCTTAGTTTTAAGTAGTGCACTCGTGAAAGGCACCAAACAATAGCATCCCTGCGGGAATCTAGTAGCTGGCTGTCTCCCCATCCCAGAGAAGATGGAAAGTGCTGAGGGGCTTTAGAATCCGAGCAATTTTCTGCCAACTGTGACCCTCCACAAAGCGGGTAGGAAAGAAGAAGGAAAGTAGAATCGTGTCTGTGTTTGGGTACGTGATTTTCCTTCTAACTTGCAGCATGTGAGAAAATGACCTGCTGCCTTCAATGGCATGCAGGAAACCAGAGTTAAATGCCAGCTATCCAGATTAACACCAAGGAGGAGTCTGTTTATAGCCTATCTTTTATCTTTGTTATAACATATCTGGTATGCCTTTCACACCCTATGAACAGAGTCTAACTGCAGTGACCTCTGTCTGGCTTCTCTTTATTTTCTTATTGTATGTGCCTACTTATTAGTCAAACACATGTCTCCATTGATTACATAGGACAATAGCTCCACTTATTTGCAGTCACACATACGTCAGTTGATTCAAAAATTCTCTGCAGTTGTTACTGATGAAATATCCTTTGTTAAAGTGGTCTCAAAATTAGACACACATAACTTAAATAATTGGCTCACTTAAAATTGAGGAACAAAATTGTTTTATTTCCATGGTTATCCCCTTCATCAGTTTTGTTCTACGTACTTATGTAGGACAACAATTAGACTTTTTACAGAATCTTGAAAGTTCTAAAAGCATGAGAATGACTTTTTTAAATGTATGGCACTAAAACCTTGAACCCTGGAACCTGAGACGGAGCCATCTCTTTTCATCAGCCCAGCATACTGCTTCAACTGAGTTGTACATGTATCGCAGCTATCACACCTGCTTCCAATCTCACTCCCCAACCCAAACTAATTCTCACTCAGCTCCGTTTTCTTGCGCATTTATAATTCTAACCACCTTATTTGACCAAGTCTATGTGTTCCAATTCCATTTATACAAAGTTACATGGTATAGAGAAGATAAAGGATAAAGAAAACCTTACCACGAGGATGAAGCAGTTGTAGTAATTGTCTTTCCTGTGTGATGGCCCATGAAGTCTTAGAGTCACTGGAGAAACGTCTGCTGCTTTTATAATATGAAGCATATCATTTTCATTATGAATAAAGGAAAAGTAAAAAGGTAAAAATGGTACTTGCAAAAAATCCAGAGATCCTTTGGTAGAAGTAAAACTTTTAAAAATTAAATACTCTATAATCAATACTTTTTTTAAAAAAAGAACCTTTTCTTATGAATGAGCTGTATCACAGAGTAATATTGAGTCAATTACGTGAATTTGAGTGAGAAGAAAGCTATTCCACAAAGAATGATAAAGCTTCTCAGTAGTCCTATTATATTTGGTTAAAGGACTGGATCATTAGTCACATTTCCACAGTGCTTGTATTTTACAATGTGGATGGTTTAAGGTACAAAACCCTATTATGTATGTTTTTAAGGCTGTGTTTTAAATTCTTAATTTACCTTGGTTGCCAGACATGCAAATTTTATACAAAGAAAAAAGTTGTGAATGGTTTAAATTGAAATCAGTTTTGAGTTTTCCATGTTAAATATTCAGTTCTATATGTAGATTTGTAAATTAGAGGTCTACCAATTAAATGCTGTTACTTGTTTGCTGTAAGAAATAGACAACTACAGCAAACTAGCACAACTTAGTCACCTTTTCTAAATTCTTTAAAAGATTCTAAATTACTGTATTCTTACTTTACAAAAATGTTCTGCTTTAGGTGACTAGGAAAAATGGAACACTAAACCTTGAACTGAACTGCATAAGATATCACGTCTCCTAGTGAGAAAGAAACAGTCAAAGCAATTGAATCTGAGCCAAGGGCCTTGTTCTGTCTTGGAAAGTTGTACATAGCATATTGTATCAAAGCTTGTTTCTTTTACAAACTTTTGGAGCTCTTCTGTGATGTTAATGCTGCCAAATTATTCACCTTTCAGGTCAGAAACCTAGCGTTCTATAGGGAACTCACTTGGTCCTATCTCGGACCATATTTCTGTTTTATTAATTTATAATTAAGTAGGACTTTTTTTTTAGCTAGGAAGTTATCATTTTCCTTCTGAATCTAAAAATTTAAGGATAACGTTCATTCTTTTATTTTAATCCAGAAGATTAGTTAATAGTTATTTTTGTTTGCTTTTGCTTTTTTTTAAAATAAAGCCTGTCTTTTATGCTTTTGAAAATCTTTGGCTATTATTTCCTTCCACAAGCTGGCTAGGTTGAGGCTGGCCATAAGCTTTTTTGTGGGATGGGTTTTAAACATGCACAGTAGTTTTTTGCTTATATCAGAGAGAATTTTAGGTTTTGTTTCTTTTCTCTTTAACTAAAATAAAGTAATTGAACTTTCATCTCTAAGAAAATAGGAAAAAACATTTTAGTTAAAAATTACCCACGTTGGTTGTTTTGTTTTGTTTTTTAACATTGGAAGACAGGATTGGATTATTTATGAAAGGATTTAACTTGATAGATCATAAGGATTAATATACTTATTGCTGGTTTTCAGTGTACATACTTGAAGCAGCTTCTTGGTGTTGTTTCTAAGTTTCTTTGTGGTGAGAATGCAAAGTATAATGTATTTTGAGTATTTTGGTTGCTTTTTCTTTTGGAAAAATAGATGTGGGAGATTTAACCATTTGAATAAAAAAAATTAGGTTTTTTTTATTAGCAGTCGCAAAAACAATATAATCTTTCACAGAATAGGAAAACTTTCAGTTTACGTGAAAATCACTTAGTTGAGTGGAAATCTGATCTATTTATAAAAGATCATAAATTTTGTGAAAAATTTTTGAGAAACTTCTGTGTTTATTCCTTAGGATGCCATCCATTAGGTTTGTGTATTGACAACAGAATATTTCTTAAAATATAATCTCTTTCTATTTCTTTCCTTCTCAAAAAAAATTGATAAAATATCTTTGAATAATTTCAAGATGTTAGGGTATAGAAGACATTTTCTTAATATGAGAATTGTGTCTTTAAGGCAATATAAGTACACAAACGAAGTTGAAACATAGTAGTGCATTGATAAGTATATGTTATTTAAGTTGTTATCTTAGATCTGAGAGAAATTTATCATTTTAGAACTAGAAAGTAAGCCTGTTGACTATCTGAAAGCTCTGCTCTCCAGCTTGAAGATAAATATATTTAAAATACTTCCTACTGAGTACATCTTCCCACCTGTCCTTGATTTTTCTTTCCTATTGTAATTTTTGCATTTGCATCTATAAATTACGGCCTAATTCCAATTGTGAAAAAATGTTGATATTAAATTAGAACTTTTAAAACGTCCACCATGTGGCAGAGAAAAATTTATCCCACCCCTTACATTCTCTTTATTTCAAGGGTTGGGATTTTGTACTATAAAGCAAAATAAATTAACACTTAAAGTAGGTGGTACATTCAGCTAAGACTGAGGGGTTAAAGAGAAAAAAAAAATTGAAAGAAAATGACTATTTGCATCAGTTTTGCAAATGCAGTTTTGAATATTGACTAATATTCTTTATGAATGTCTTAAGTTATAGAATGATCTATAAAAATAATAATAGATAAAAGTAGGGAAAGAGTTTACTCACAGTGAAGGTACTTGACCATTATTTCCATTAAGTCATAAGTAAATAAATGCCATATTTTTGCCCAGTGTCTTTTGTTATATGTATCTGTAAATATAGAAGCCTAATTTTGGTATTATCATGTTATTTACATTCTCATGTTGTATTTATCTACAAAAGGGCAAAAATAAGTATATTCCATTTACTTGGAAATTGTGGACAATTTGTGCAGAAAGAACAGATAGGAAGTAACTTAGAAAAATTTTGTTTTGAAACCCATTCCTACAATATTTCAGGTGTAGTTTATTACTTATTTTTCTATATGAATAGCATTGTTAGTAAACATATTCATGGGATTAGAACATAAAAGGGTTTTTCTTATTTCAAAAACAATTTGTTATATAGGTAATACAGAAATTTGATAAGTAACTCGAAAAGAAATTTTGTTTCTATTTTAGCTAGAACAGAAAGTCTTTTGTGAGATCTCAAAGTTACCACAGTTGTCAGTGAGGAATTCTAAATGGAGTACCTCAATGTAGTTATTTATCCTGTCTCTCAAAAAGAAAAAAAGCCAGATTTATATCCTGACACGTCTAATGCTAACAAAATCTGTCTTCTTTTTAGTAGGTTTTTGTTTATTCTGCTACCATGTACTATGGTTTGGACTTACTTATATATTAATTGAACAAAATACACATTGCTCTAAAGTTTGATAGAACAAGAAGTTGAGTTTTGAGTTTGAAACAAATGAAGATTCTACAAAACAGTCTCCCAGAGTAGACTTCAGTAGGCCTAGCAGATCTGTACGTAGCTTCTCTTGGCTGGGAAGGGACTGTTAGTTAGGCACTGAGGTTATTGCTGGAAAATACTCAGACTTTTTCTCTTGGTTAGAGTTTAACTCTTAGAAAAGCTACCTGTTTACTTCTCTATAAAATAGGCTAAATATTTGTTCTGTTCTGTTCCAGGTATACATATATCAGGTCTTTGCCAGTGGAGAACTAGATTGTATTGAAATCGTAAGGTTTTATGATGATAGTGTTTCACAAGCATGGGAAACATTTCTAACAGTTGGGTTAATATTAATTGTCATTTTGCTGTATTTTAATTTATAGGACATGGAAGTAATCTCAGTGCATGAGATTGAAAAGGTTAGTAAAATACACATTTGTGCTTTACACTGTGAATTTGTATGTAGTTCAGGTTCTATTAAACTCCAGGACATAATGTACTTTTTTCCGGAGTAGAGGGGTACGTTGTAGATCAAGATTTTATTAAAATCTCGATTGAATTTTCTAAAATGTTGACTTTTATCAAATATGTATACATAGTTTATACAGACAAAAAGTGCAAAAAGTATTGTATTAAATACCATGAGTCCTCTTCCCTACCCCCTTGCCACTTCCCATCATGTTTTAACTGTTTATACTCACTTTTAAAAATCTTCATATTTCTAAATATAATGCTTATACTGCTGACTCTTAATTCATCAATTATGGTAGGTGAGAATTTTCCTTTCTTAAACTATGCCGTCTTCTGCGCTTTCTCTCCTTTGTGCTCTTAGTGTAGTTACTTTACAATTTTTGCTAAAATCAGTATTCAGTGATTATTATACCTATATAAATATTATTCATATGTGAGCATTATAAGGTATTGTAGCTTCTTTTGCAGTTTTTTCATTAATTAATGAATTTTTTTTAATTTACTTAGTTTTTCTTTGTGTTTATTATTAATTCCACTAGCTTTTCAGTATAGTTTCCCACAAAGTTGCTGATAACTTGTATTAGTTACCTTCTTTCCCCCGATGGAGATCCCCTTCCTGGAGACCTCCGTTCTCTGGCTTTTATCTAGTCTGGTTGCCCTTCATGCCTGCTGCACAACCATCATCTTGGGACTTCTTTTTGTTGTCATCCTCAGAATTCCTTTTGCCTTTCTCCCAAGCGTAATTTCCCATTCCAGGATTCAGCGTTTTTCTCTTTCTTGGTTCTTGTTCATGTTTCCGTGGAGCTTTCTACCAAAGTGTGCATGTGAGGCAACTAGTTTTAGACTTTCTTGTTTATTTGATTGGTAGTTTGGTTGGATATAGAATTCTAGGTTGTCAGTATTTTTCTTCATAATTTTGAAGACATTGCTTCATTGTCGTCGACCTCAAAAGTTACTGTTAAGAAGTACAATGTTGTGATATTTAATCTGTTGCACATGACTTGTTTTGCTTTATTTTTTTTTTCTCAGGAAGTTTTTACAATCTTCTTTATTTATCTGGTTTCTGAAGGTTCATGATCACGTACCTTGTTAGGAATCTTTTCTCATTCTTTGTGCTGGGCTTTTGGTAGCCTCTTTCAATTTGGAAACTTCGAGTTTAGAAATTATCTTTTATTATGTCTTTGATAATTTCTTCCCTTCTGTAGTCTCTCCACCCTCCTGGATTGATCCTCTCATTTGATCACCCTTTCTGCTTTGATGGAACTTTTCCTCAACTTTATCTTTCAAACTTATTTTTATAATATTTTATATTTAATATTAATATTAAGTATTTTTCTTGTCCTATTTTTAATTTTTCTGGGCATGTTTTGATATCTAACCATTGTTTTTTCATAGCATCCTGTTCATGTTTCAAAGGTGCATTTATCTTTGTTTAGCTTTATGAAATATAGATGTATCGCATATATATTTATGTATAGAAATGTATATGTGTATCTATTTTTTTTTGTATGTGAAACTTATTATTCTACTACCTGTATCATCTCTCTTTTCTCTGAGTTACTTTTTCTCCATTGTTAATTTTCTCTCTTGTCTTTTACATAAGATGGTATGTCCTAATACAAGAGTTGGCAGATTGTGGCCTGCTGTATCTGAGTTGCATCCTGTTTTGTACAGCTTTTGAGCTGAGAATGGTTTTTAGCATTTTTAAAGGGTTTAAAAAAATTAAAAAGCAGACAGAAGAATATGTTACAGTGACTGTGTATGGCCCACAAAGCCTTAATATTTACTTTCGGGTCCTTTACTGAGAAAGTTTTCTGATCCCTGCTCTGTGTCTGGAGATTCTTGTCTTTTCTTTCATATTTAAGAGTCAGACACTAGGGGCCGGCTCCATGGCCAAGTGGTTAAGTTCACGCACTCCGCAGTGGCGGCCCAGGGTTTGGATCCTGGGAGCGGACATGGCACTGCTCTTCAGGCCACGTTGAGGCGGCGTCCCACATCCCACAACTAGAAGAACCTGCAACTAAGATATACAACTATGTACATAGTTTGGGGAGTTTGGGGAGATAAAGCAGAAAAAAGAAAGATTGGCAACGGTTGTTAGCCCAGGTGCCAATCTTTAAAAAAAAAAAAGAGTCAGACACTAAAAGCGAATTGGGAACTCTGTATGTAAGTAGGACTTGATTAACTTCACTGAAGACTAACTTGGTAAATCTCAAGCTGGTTTTATTTATGTCAGTGTCTATTGTTTTTCTTTGGGGCCTTTTACTTTCACTAGAGGAGAGTCTCTAATCTCCTGTCTGGAGTGTGGAAGTCTGCTGCACGCGTTTCAAAGCTGATATACGTTTGAGTACGTAGACTTTCACTTAACTTTTCTGTTTTCACTACAGTTGCCTTGATCTGAACTCTGTGTACCTCAGATTCAGTTTCTTCAGAGGTTAAATCTTAGTCTTCTGCTGGAGCCAGAGTAGAATTTGTTACCTGGCTGCACAGGAAAGTAATGGGAGAGGGGAGTTGGGAATCCAGTTTCTGCTTATATGGAGGTCAACTCATACCTCTATTTGCAGCTCACACCATACTGCTGTGTTTTGTAGAATCTTGTATCTCCTAGATTAAACTTTCATGGAAAAAGATTTAAGCACACCTAGGAATTGTATCCAAAGTATAAAATTAACTCAGTTTTTTAACATCATGTAATCCATTCGTCCTTATATTACTTTTTGGGATTAGAAGTTATATATGAGAGAGAACTATAAAGAACTCTTTAGTTTTCAAAACAGCCCTCTGAAGTGGTAGATATATTAGTTGCATTTTACAAATAAAGAAATTGGAGACACAGAGAGGTTAATTAACTTCACATGGAGGATCACATAGTTAGTAAGAGTAGAACCAAGATTCAGCCAGGCATTCTGGGTATACAGAATGCTTTCTTTACATCTGTGTCGCACTATAGTTCAAGATAGCATAATATACTTGGCAAGTGAATTACAGTAATGAGTGCTTTGCATTCAGAAGAGAAAGAATGGTCTGGCTAGAGAGGTAATGGTAAGTTTCATGAAGGACATGGAGCTTGAGTTGAGTCTTTGATTAGGTAGAGGGAAGGGAAGAGGGTAGTTCAGATAATAGGTTATGATCCAAGATGGTATAGCTGTTGTATTTAGGAGATGGTAAATATACTCTTCTGATTTAAGTGGAGATTTGGGGACTATTGAATGAAAGCTTGAACATGTGAGTGCAGCCAGATCATAGTATTACATACCAGAATATTGTATGTGTATTTTACACTGTGGGTTACAGGAAGGTTTTGTTCTAATATGGACTCAATGCATTTACTTAGTTTTAAAATTTATCCAGTATTCAATGCAAATTGAGAGTGCAGGGATTATAACATTTTAGGTGTTTGTGGTGTAGGATTACATTAGATTAAAGTATTAGTGATGTAAGGAAGATTATGCTTTATGCCTGGATTAGGTTGCATCTGATTTTGTTTTTTTCCTTTAATGTTGACATATTTTGTAATTTATTTAATTGTTCTGTGGTAACAGAGTTTGGTGGTAGATGTAATGTTTGAGAAATTTCGTTTTGTCCATTTGATATCACTTTTGGCTAAGAATGTTATTTTGCTTTTAGTGTAAGTGAAGGAGTTGGAAATTGTCGCTATGTAGATTCTAGTATCCATTTTCAGTAAAAATGAAGCAATATTTTCCAACCTGGGCTTAGGGCCCTCAGGCAACGAGAGAGATCACAGCTAAATCTCAAAAGCAGTTCAATTGGGGTTTTGGAGTTTCTATATTTTGTTTTTTAAACCATATTTCTTTTTTCCTTCTTCTCTCCCAAGTATCTAAGTTCTTCCTTACAATGCCAGGAAAGAGATGGACCTCTAGTGTTTGATACTAGTAAAAGGAGTCACCAGCTTTGTTTCTTTTACTTTTAAGTTTTGGAGAAGAGATAAATGAGTAAGGAACATGCGATTCTAAGTATCCTGGGGAGAAAAGTTTGAGCATCTGTGTCCTAGAATCTTATCACCACTCTTCAGCAGTGTTTTGTGTTTCATGAACTCCATCTCGAATGTTGAAAGTTAGATGAAGTTTCTTTTAAGACTTCTATTGTTCCTATCTTGCTTTCTTGGAAAACTTCATACTCAGGGATAGGCTCTCTACTCCGTTAGGAGAAGAACTGCTGTCTGCCTGGGAGCTTCAGTAGTCCTAACTATCTAAAAATCAGATCTTTGTTCTTTGTTGTTTGCTTTCATATTTTTCACACTTAACCTGGATTCAACTATTACTAAAGTGATTGCTGTCACTTATTAATCATAAATATAAAGAGGTTATGCTTTTAAAATTGAATAATTTTAAAAATTATTGTATAATAGACTCATGTGTATAAAACTTTGTTTTCTCCATGAGGAGAAGTTAGGAAGCTTAAGGGGGAAGCCTTAACTTTATAGTTTTTTTTTTTATTAATTGGACGGCTAAAAAATAAATCATAACATAAATTTAAACTACATCGTGTTAATTACTTTGGTTAATTAGAAAACTGTTCTAACAGATTGTGCAAGATGGTTTAGATTAATGCTTTCTAACCTTTTTTCTGCCTGCACACACAGCTGGCTCCTGTCAGAAGCACCTTTCATTTCAAACATTATATTTTCACTCAGGTTAACCCGTAATGGAATGGGTTTGCACTGATGGCGGCACAGTCCTGCCTATATCCCTCTAGCTGGAGACTCTTGCTTATTCTCAGGGCCCTGTCCTGGGTATAAAGTCTTTTTACTTTAAACAACTATAGACTACTAGTGTTTGTCTTTAATTAGAAAACATAAATATAAAAACTCTGAAAAGATTGATATTCTTATAGAAAAGGAGAAAAAAATAGTGGTAGGATGTATGCAATAATTAAGTTGTACAAAAGTTAAAAAGAATTCACATTATATCTTAAAATGACGTGGAAACTAAATGTGCCTTAACTTCCCATTAATCATTTTAATTGAAATTGGCGTCCTTTCAATTTGAGAATCCTACTTAAGCTTAATATTACAAAATCATGCCAGCTTCTAACAGGGATGCAGTGTACTCTTATTGCTTATAAATGATTTAGTGACTGTTAGCCAAAATAGGTAGAAGATTGACAAATATGTTTAGGGAAAACTTGTACAATAATGTTAAATGATTTTAGAAAGAATGTTGATGGAATAACATGTGGAAATACCAGAAGATAGTTCAGTGCAAAATAAGAACTGGAATATAAATATCACTCTTTAAATTCTTACTATATGAGTTTTGCAGATTTATAAGACGACTATTTATTTCCCTTGTTATAAAAATAATTTAGCTTCTCCTTTCCCCTAATGCTCAATCTCAAAGAAAAGCTGACGTCTGTTATTTGGTGGATCGGCTTTTTTACTTCAGTAGAGTTTCAGATTTCTGTATTGTTCTGTGACCAGAGTACTGCAGAGTTAAATTGAGCAAGATACCCTGGTGTTAGGGGGCTGAATATTTGGTGGGGCTAATAATTTTGAACTAGTGGCATTTGTTTATTTATTAGTTTTAGTTCTTACATTAAAGAAGTAATTTGTTCAAATACTTGACCATTATAAATATATAACCTGAGTTATGGTGAATATAAGAAGACATTTAGAATGAAAGTAACACACTTGGTAAATGTCTTGAGAAAATGTACGCTGAAGTTCTATATATGTATTTCTGGTTATATGTATCCTAAAGCATATATTAATTATAGGAAATATGAAAACATGGAGAGGTCTTTTTAATCAAAAAGTTCAGAGGTTATCTAGCTTTTCATTATCTGCTTTAGTCTTGTCTTACCAAATCATATACTTACAGAATATAGCATTATAAGTATTATTATTGTTATAATATTCTATAAATATATTAAAAAGTTGAAATCAATTCCTAGTACAGCAGTTTTTAGATAGTACCTCCAACTTAAATGTAGATTGTATTCTAAAAAACTTAGAAATAAAATAACCTTTTTTTAGGGAAATGATGCTATAAATGGCACCCGCTGCCCCCACCCCAAGATTAGCCCATGAAAGTTCCTTTGGTCTATAATGTAGCATACAAGATCATATTTTTTTCAAAGAAAACAGTGCTGTTGCTAATGAGTAATTAGGGAAACAAATCTGAGGAAGTATTTATCTTGAATCGTGGTATTTGAGAAAAAGCAGAGAGATTTGTGTGAAAGGGAGATTAGCTAGAGTGGGATTAACTGAGGTGAGAACAGTGAAAGTCAGGAAAAGGCATGATGCCCCCTGACAAATGAGGTGCTGCCGGCAAGGAGGTTCATAAGGTTACTGCCCTCACACAGTTTTGAGAGCCTGTTGCCCCTGGAATAGGGGGATAAAGATGAGCTGTTCCTGTACTTCATATTTTTTGACATTTTAGAAGGGGGACTATCCTTTATGAACCTTAGGAAAACAAAGGTTTAGCTTTTATAAAACCCGAAAATCCCTTAAATTTATAACCATGAATAGAGAATAATTTGTATTTTCATTATTATCACCAATGATAGAAACAGATCTTAAACTGAAACTTTTTCTATATTGTTTTTTGACTTTGAGTATATTATCCCAGGGAAAATGTTTTTGAGATCGTTCTTCAAAAAGTCTGTTTACCATAAAAGCATGTAATTAATACTATTTCAGCTTTCCTAAACTGCCATGTAAAACATTATTTCTATGGCAAATTCATTCACTGATTGAGTCCTGCTGTGTGCCAGGCACTCTTCTTGGTGCTCTAACTACAGCAGTGAACAAGAGACAAGAATCTTTGATCTCATGGAGTTTATATTCTAGTACAGATTTATTTCAAGTTCCATTTGAAAGATGCCAACATTTTTATTACCTTCAGGTTGGCTTGCTTCAGGTGGGTGCCTGAGCTGGAGCAGCTGGAAGTCTAGTTATATCCAGTACCCTGATAATTGAGCATGGGTAATAATATATTAACCATTTTTAAATAGGGCAACAAATGACAGCTTCCTTTTAAGGAACAAGGACTAGAGTCCTTATCCCTTGCCCAACTGTTCCTGAGTAAGGATTCTTAGGTTTGTGAGAATATTTGAGCCATTTACCTGTCAGGCAGGTCTCTTTTTAAGATTTCATGTGTTACTGCTAAACTACCGTGTGACTTTGGTGCTGTGTACAGTTTTGTAAAGGCAGTAGAATAAGTTGTTGAGTGAACACACTCTGGGTCCAGACCGCCTAGGCTTAAATCCTAACTGCCTCTGGTCTAGTTGTGTGATCTTAGGTGAGTTACTTAACCTCAGTGCCAGTTTTTTAAAATCTGTAAAGTAGTGATAATAGTTGGCTAATGTGTAGATGAAACGAGTTAACTGGTAATGTCTAGCACTTGCAAGTACTAAATAAGGGCTATCACTATTTTCCATGCTTCACATATAGTTTATGTTAAAATTACTTTTCTAGATGTTTTTGCCCAGCACCTTATTTTGTTTGGTGAGTTTATGCTTTCAAGGAGAGCAATTTGGAATAACGGAAATCTGAGTTCTAGCTTTGGATCAGCCACTGATTTGATCTTGATTTGATCAGTTATTAAAGGGGGTTCAGATAAAATGATCTCTTTAATATTGTCCTGTAAAATTAAAATATTTTAATGATTTTTAATAGATGAGCATGTTGAACCTTTGGCTGTTTTTGAATAGTCAAAGGGAACTTGTTTAATCATACTGTGAAATGGTGATCCCAGATACATAGTTTTCGTACCACAGCTTATCAGTGGCTGTTAGTATCTCAGATTTTGAATTATTGGGTGATTTGCAATTGATTCCCATGATGTGTGTTTAATTCTAAATATAAACAGCTTGACAAACCTGCCCAATAAAAGGTTGTTCCCTAACGTAACCTCTACCTTGGCTTTACATGTCGCTGAGAACCTATTTCATAAAATTATTGTCATAACCTCCTACTAAAATTTGAGTCAGATAAACTAGAAATACATTGTTTCCCTAATTACAATTTAATTTGTGTATTGTACTTTTCATTAATTTAAAAATGTTATAAACTTCACTTAGATTTGTTTTGTTTTTGTGTCCTATTTCCTGGAAGACTATTCAGACTTTCATTAGTTTTTCACTTCCTTTCAAAGGGTACCTTGTGAATAAGCATGTTGTAGAATCAAAATAAATGTTATAGTCAAATTTTATTGGAGTTCAGGTCATGTAAAGATGGCTGTGTTTAACTCCCACCAAGTTATCTGTGGTTTTTTCCTGAACTTTTCATTCTGCAGCAAAGTTCTGTTTTCATTAACTACACACTATTTTAAAGTAGAAGATGGTGGTGAGAGATCAGTCTGTGTTACTTTTGGATTTTTTTTCTTCGTGAAAGCAATGGCAGTCTTGATTGTAACAGAAAACTACTTGGAATTTGGACTTGAAACAGGTAATAATTTTATACAACTTTAAAAATCAGTTTTGCTTTATCTACCATTAATATTTTTTACTTCCATATTTGAGTTTTATTTCTGATAAGTTTTTAAAATTGGATTTGAGGTGTATATTCTGTAATGTTCTAAATAATTAACTTTTATTGTTCTTAAGATCTTCCTTTTTTTGTTTTAGCCAAGTTTTTCTGTTAGCTTTTTCCAAAAATACTGTCCCTTCTCCCTTTTTTCCTTACAGTTAAATGTTTCCATAATGCTGAAGTTTACTCACATAGATGAAGACGCAAATTTTAATGCAAATTTTATGCACAGTCATGGAATGTACAAATATCAAAGGAATGTTTTCAAAGACTGTTCCTGCTAATAACCAAATTTTATTGCATTATGGCATACTAAATTAGCACATGAAAGAGCTAAGCTAGTCACTTCAAAATTTAAGATGCTCTGTTTTCTAGCATTTTATTTCCAAAGAAAGATTCTGTATTTTACCCCTGTGATAAGAATAATTTTCTTTTTTCCCTACAGGGTTTACAAATTTTTCGGACAGTGCAATGCAGTTTCTTGAAAAGCAAGGTTTAGAATCTCAGTAAGTTTTTTTAAAAATTAAACATTATTTAAATTTTTCCATTTTTAGTAAAACAGCATTTAGTATAAATGGTTCTTTGTTTTTAATCAGTGAAGAGGTCTTTCTTAAGTAGGATTGTCACTTCTAGAAATAGCCTTACCCGTAATTTTTACGAGTATAGTATATTGTATACTTAATATTTTTGTAGAATTCTTATTTGGATTTGCTTTTACTTGATTTAATTCCTCTACCCCCAGATGTTAGACTAAATTTACATCTGAGTCACATATTAAATTCTATCTCAAATGTGTAGGTTGGATTGTTACAAATGTGGCTAAAGAGATGCCTGATTTAGTTTATAGTTCACTAAAACCCATTATAGAGAATTGACCAAGAGCTGTCTTTCTGTAGAAGTTTACTTTTATTACTGTTATTGTTGTGGTTTTTAAAGTAATTGATCAGAAGAAAGGAAATTCCTAGGAAGTTAACCTAAAAAATTTATCAGCTTTTTAAAAAATTTTGTTTCTAGGGGTCCTGTTTCAAAACTTACTTTCAAATTTTTCCTGGCTCTTTTCTGTTCGCTCATTGGGGCTTTTTTGACATTTCCTGGATTACGGCTGGCTCAAATGCATCTGGATGCCCTGAATTTGGCAACAGAAAAAATTACACAGTAAGCGGAAAATGTACATAAGCACATGCAGATAAATATATGTTTTCCATCTTAATGAAGGTATATTATTGCAATGAAATCATAAATTATTGTATTGAAAATTAATAACCATTTGATGTCACACTACTTCCTCTTTCTACTATAAGCAAGTTTCTTTTATTCATTTCTAAATTTTAAGTCCTGTGTTAAAAAATATATATTTAATCAATTACTAAACTTCTATTATACTTGTAAAAATGGAAATATCAATATTTATGTTCTTTTTAGGTTAGAGGTCAATGTTTATGATATTGTAATCTCTACAACTGGACTAAGGATCCATGGAAATTTCCGTAAACTCAAACATTTTAATTACAAACATTGTATTTAAATTTTATGTAAATAATTTAGTGTTTTTTATTTAAAATATTTAAAAATTTTTTGAAAGTAAAATCTGTATACATAGGAGATGTTTGTTTTCCTTAAATTATTGATCTGTTTGTAAAACGTTAAAATTATACATTATTTTACTTGGGGATAACTAATATTGTATAATGTTAAATATCATAGGTTACTTTTAACTACCAAATTCTATTTTAGTTCTCAAATGGAGAAATTATATTTGAATTTCTATGAATAGTTCAGAGCCCATTTACTATATTCTTCGTGGTTGTCACAGATTTTTTTTGCTGATGTAGACACCTTGGCAGAACTACAGGTTTCTATCTCCTTCAACTCGTATCCAGATCCAAATTCCCGTCTCATCTTTTTATTGACGCCCACGTTGAGAATATTCCATTTTGATTTATGTATTTATAATCATTAAGTTTCTCTGAGTGATCATATTTCCTTACATTTCTTCTCTTTAAAACCCTATTTTTAATGATGCTAATTCTCTGATCTTTTTACATTCTTATCTCTCTTACTTATGTCATTTTCCTTTATTTTAATTTTGACAGTCTTTTTGTTTTTTTCCTTACCTCCATTTTTCTACATATGCTTTGTGTGTGTGCTTACTTATTCTCACCTCCCACGACACACTCCCTCGTCCCTCTTTTTCCCCTCCTTTTACTCAGCATGCTCTTGGCTACGTCCTGCCTTTCTCCCACCATCCTCTCTCTAATGGCTTCTTTTAAAACAAAACCTGATTCTCCCCCTCCTCTCTATACAGACACTTCAGTCCACTAACCCCAGTGTTATGATTTAAATAAGCTGAAAGGGTGGGTGGAGGGGAGCCCCTCACCAGCTACTGAAACCGCTGTGGGCTGCTCCTTGATACTAGAGTGTTCCCTAGCAACACTGCATATCTAATACTGCTGCTTTCTTCCCCCGCACTGATGGTTTACCCAGGCTGTGGGATGAAAGAATCACTTTATAAAAACATTTAAAGCATTTAGTGATGGTTTGGAGTTGGGGGGGGCACATTTTACTTCCCTTTTCAGTAGAAGGTGGCTTCTTTTAAGATTTTTCCCTTTGGGGATTTAGAGTTTTATTTTCTTTTTGGTTTATTGCATTGTGTTGTAGCATTCTGCCTTGATACAAGGGTGTGGGCAAGCTAGTTCTGTTGTGAGAGTAGCATGACTGGCACAAAGAGCGGCGTGCTCCTCACCCCATGGCCAGGCACTGGTACTCGTTTTAATGCCAGGACTTAGAACCCGAGTTCCACCTTTCCCTGTCAGGTGTTCAGGTTTCCTGACCCAACCCTGTTTTGTCACGTAGATCACTATCATTTAAGCTATTATGATATTTTAGTGTGCGTGTGTGTGTGTATGTATTTTAAATCCTCCAGTTTAGCCCTTCAGCATGGTTGATAATGAAAGCAGTACATGGTAATAAAATAGTCTGAAGAATTTGTCTTTTTCTAAAATAAGAAAAATCTTTACCAGTCATCTGTCTCTGTAGGATACAAACTTGGGACAACAATTAACAATGAAGTTACAGCTCAAACCTGAAACCTTTTGCTCTTTTAGGTATACTGTCTTATCAGGAGTAATGCAGGTTTCCTTGGTTTGTGTACGATAGGGAAATTAATTTCAGATATTTCAGATATAGTCATAATACTCTTAAGAAATAAAAATATGTGAATCATTTATGATTTTGCCAATCATACATTATATTATTATACATGATTGTACATGATCATTGCATATTGAAAGATTCCTCAGTTATAAGTTGCTGTAGTAGGTTCGTCTGCCATATATCTTCTGGTATTATGGACCTTGCTAATCACCATCTCTTACTTATAAATAATAAGGAGACACGTTGTTTCAGCTGCACTGAAAAACAGCAAAAGAAGACTAAAAAATCCATTGGATCCATTAACGTTGTAGAGTTGAAAGAATCATTTAAGGACCTGTGTGTTAGTTCAGTCAGGGATGTAGAAGGGGATTGTGACAGACACTAGAAGAGAGGTGAGCAGACGTAGAGTGTAGTGCTAGGTCTGCCCCTAACTGTAATATTGCCGTGAGCAAGTCGTTTAACTTTCCTGGGTCCAAAAGTTCTCTTCTGAAAAATTAAGATAATGAGGTAGTTTTGCAAAGGCTCAAGTCAGCATTAAGTGGTAATGATGAGTATAAAATAAAGGTGACAGTAGTACCTTAATATAGAATACTGAAAATTAGTTACTACCTTCATTTTGTAAATCCCAAGTTTCTGTGTTTATTAGTGTATTTTGTTTCTGGATATTTATATTAATTTCTTACATATTTTCAGAACGTTACTGCACATCAACTTTTTGGCACCTTTATTTATGGTTCTACTGTGGGTGAAACCAATCACCAAAGACTACATTATGAACCCACCGTTGGGTAAAGAAAGTGTCCCTTTGTAAGTATGGATATTTCAGGGCTAATTTCTGTTTCGTTATATAATCAAAACTGTTTTCAAAAATGTTATATATTCTATTTAAGTTTTTTAATGATAATATTAGGACATTGTATTTTTTTAAAAATGCATAGAAATTCTAAAAGATGTGTTATAAATTTGACCAGGTCATCATTTAACCTTTTGTGATCTTCATTAATGAATGTGAATGTGAAGTATTACCCTGCACTGATATTAACTTATACACTTGTAAATTTTTTTGCTTTCTCACTTAATGTCCACTTGTTTTGTGACATTTTCCTGTTGTTGTTGTGCCTGTTTTTAAGATATCCTCTGCAGTTCTTTTGCTTTTTCTTAATTGTGAAAGTTAATGGAGGAAAAAATGAGTAGTATAAATGGATTCATATATTCATCCCATGTAAGAGTTCCTGAAATTTTCCATATTTTCCTCACCCTCTTTAGTTTTGTTTTTTGGTAAAGTAGTTTTTCAAATTAGAGGCGTAGCATTTTTACCCTTGAATACTTTAGTATACACCTCTAAAAAATAATATTTTCCTACGTGACAATAGTGTCATCACACCTATCAAAATGGAAAAATAATGCCTTAACATTATTATCTAATATTAGGTCATTTTTCTCCAATTAGACAATATTTTAACAGAGAAGATAGTAAAGAAACATAAAAAAAGTTTATTAAAAGGCATTAATAACTGTATTTGATAAGTTAACTCGTTAGCCTCATGGAACTATGTTAGAGTAATAGATTCAGACAGAGCTGGTTCAAACCCCAGTTCTGATCCTCACTAACATTGAGGATTGTTTAACCTCACTGAGCCTCTGTTTCCCCATCTGGAAAATGAAGATAATAGTATCTCCCTCACAGACTTAACATTGGAATTAAATGAAGGAACACATGTAATGCAACCAGCTGGAAGTAAGGGCTTAATAAATGTTCCTTTCATTGCTTTGCCTCATCAAAACTAAAATAGAAAACCTTGACTAGTCATTGACTCCACAGTATACATTTTATATTATGTATTTCTTTGAGATCCTGGTACAAATTTTTCTTGGAGTATATAATCAGTGATGACCATGACTTTTGTGGGGTTTTTTTTCCTGTTAATCTTACTGAACTAGGGAAGTACCCGTTGAAGTTACAATGTTTTTTTCCCCACATGAATAAGCTTTATTGGTAATTTTAACTTGACAGATTCACTAAGTATTTAAAAATAATCCTAAGGATTCTCAGGTTTTAGACAAACGTCTTCTAACTCATGTCTTTAATACTAAAAGCATTCCCAGTCCTTCCTTGAAGTTTAGTCGTAGAAGTTCGATTTTATACTCCTGTAATTATGTTCTCAATTTTATGTTTGCCTTAGTTTAGTTAGGAAAACAAGGAAATTAGCATTTATGATGCATCCGTCATATACCAGTTATTATGCTAGGTATGGATACTTCACATATTCTATCTCCTTCATTCTTACAGTAATTCTCTTTTGTGATTGCTATTCTCTTCCCATTTTATAGATGAAATAACAGACTCAGAAGTTAAATAATTTGGCTAAGGGTTATTCACCCAGATTTGGTGTATATAAAGCGTTAGTGGTTATACCAACATTCATTTCCCACTTTTAGCCAGACTAAACTTTGTGCAGATTAGCAGTGAAGACTATGCTTAAAGGAAATGGGGATAAGGAATTTTTTCTTTGGGTGTATATTAAATTGTAGAAAAATTTTGTTGTATATGAAGATCTAGGATCCTCTTCTATAGCTTTATTTCCTTTGTCCCATCCCCATTTCTGACCTGTTGTATAAACAATGTAAACAAAATTGCAGTCTTATCTCTGCTCTATCCTATTCTTTTTTATTTGTCAGACCATTACATTAAGTGATTAGACAGAGATGATTTTAAATTTTTGTTTAAAATCCAAAGCCCATTTGGTAGATTGAGAAAGAATGACTGCTCATCAATCAAAGAGAATGAGATGAAGAAGAAAGCAAGTGACAGGTCTTCGTCTGTCGCATGGACTAAATGGTTTGTGGAAAGGTCTCTATTTGTAGTCAGAAGGAAAAATGGTTATAATGCAATTTCAATCCAGAAATGTATTTAAATCTATCCATGTGTTCTTATTTGACATCAAAAAAATAAAATGTGGGCAAACAGAGTCCATATGTGCTTGTGACCTTGTAAGAAGAAAACCAAAAAGAGAACATATACGGAGAAACCTAGAATGGCTCCTAGAATTTGGAGAAATTTCTCCTGCCTGTTCTTTACCCATATATTTTGTCCCAGCTCAGGGTCCTTTCCTGAGTTACCCCATCAGATCAGTTTTATCAAATCTTTATGAGGTTGGTTAAATAATCTGAATTAGAAGATCCTATTTAATAACTGTTATCCTAAATCCTGAACTACTCATAAACTGAGCGAATATTTTTTGATTCACTGCCTTATTCCATTCCTTTCATTCCTATTATCTGTCACCCTCAGAGTCTATATAGTAGCTGTCTTCAGGATGCTACCAGTCAAGTGTGTCTGCTACACATCTCCAGGGAGCAGAGTATTGTCTGTAGGCCCCTGGAAAGGTTCAAGGCTGTGGGTGGCCTTGTGTCTTGTGTATTGTCAGTCTCACATGACTGACTCCTTAATCTCATTGTTCATAACAGTGGAAATGTGTGGATAAAAGATTAGGTCTTTATCCTTCCTAGCCAACAGTGCTTTTCCATTAGAATTTTATGTCCATGTGCACTCATGACCTTGTAAGAAGGAAACCAAAAGAGAGCATACATAATAAAGCCTTTGTTCCATCCGCATTTCTGACCTCCATTTCATAAATAGTTCAAACAAAACTGTACACTTTCACATCTTCTCTGCTCTTTCTGTTCCCTTTACTGTCCTTCAACTATATTTCCCCCTGGCAACTTCTCTTGTATTGTAGTTTTAGTCCCTTTTCTTGGTGTTTAATCTGCACAGAAGAAAGGGCTGATGATGGAACCTGTGTTGAGGAGAAGTGTTGTCAGATTTTTTATCTTTGCCTATTTGTTCTTATTTATAGCCACCCATTCTACCCTCATGGTCTTAAGAATTTGAGGGAGAACCTTTCAAATCCTATCTGGCAGATTACTCCACGTATTTCAGCAGTCACGTATGAAGTACCTACTATGTACTAGAGATTAGATGCCAAACATGGTCTAGTCATTACTTCCAAATTACCCACAACGTCGTCTTTTATCAAAGCAGAAGACATGGCCTTTTAAAACCATTAAACCCAAGAAGGACATTCAGAAATTACTTTCTTTCTAAAGTCCTCACCCTAGTCTGATTTCTGAGAAAATGTCCTCAGGGTACATCTTTTCACCTGGAATCTCCTGTAGTTTCCTTCTTTCTATCTCCTAGTTTCCAGTTTAAGAGTGCCCAACTTCTCTTTTCATTTCACAGCCAATTTTTTTTCCCCATGGAAGAGGGTGTTTAGAGAAAAGCATCCCAAGTTTTTGGTCTACTTTTTTCTTCTGGATATCTGTTACTACTTTATTTTCTTGATTTGTTTGTCTATCTGGTTCTAGTATGCAAGTGAGAGTGTTATATGGGTAATCTAGGGCAGAATGGAATACTTTTATATCTCCAAGTATATAGCTAAGTGTAGATTTCCTATATCTTATGTGGTGAACGTTAATACAGTATAACTAGCATGCTAGCATATTTTGGTCTTTGAGAGCACCATATCAACTTTTTGATCTGTAGAATGACAGAAGCTACATTCGATACTCTGCGACTCTGGTTAATAATAGTGCTGTGTGCTTTGCGGTTGGCCATGATGCGTAGTCACCTGCAAGCTTACTTAAATTTAGCCCAGAAATGTGTGGATCAGATGAAGAAAGAAGCAGGGCGAATAAGTACGGTTGAGCTACAGAAAATGGTAAGTTGTATACTGTGGTGTGAAGAATAGCAAATACTGTGTTGTAAAAGAAAAGACAATTTGGTTTATTTTAATAGATAGTAATTTTGTCGCATAATATTCTTATTGTAAATGGGATAATCTTAAACTGGCCCATATCAGACAGACCTTGATCTGATTTTGGTGCTGAGTGAAGAAAAGGTCTCTATTCTTCCTGCCTTAAATGTTTTGGGTGTCGTACAGCTGGGTGGTAAAAAGCTGTGATATGTCTACTGTTGCTAAATGGGACCCCCTAATTGATTTGAAAAACATTACAGCATATTGTCCAGCCTTTATGGCTTAAAGGGCAGGAAATATTAGTGACTAAATTTATTCCTTTTAACAGTATCCCAAGTACTTGGACATGAAATGTAAATATTTAACTTAATAGGAATTTCAAAGAAGGAAATTTGATCTCAGTCAAATATGTTGATGTAGAATGGGGATTTAGTGTTTTTATTTATGAGGAGTTTATACTTATAAATGACTCTGCTTGTTATTATTTAGTTTGATGTTTTAGATGTCTTTAGAGATTTTAGCATTTTCTTTTGTATTTGAAATGTAAATGAATACACACCATTTGAATTTAGTGGTTATTTTCTCCAATTTATATTGATCACTTAAGAACTGTTTTTAAAGAATTTATTTTAGTATTATCACATTTTGAAAAACTTCTATTTAAGTTGAGCCTTTCTGAAGTCAGTTTGGGGGCATTTATGAATTGCAAACTTAGTACCATTTAGCTTCCTTCCCAGGAAAGGATAACTTCTCTCTTAAGCAACTCAGTTTGACAGTTATATGAAAATTTAATTCACTTATAATGTGTCAGCAGTATTAGACACTTAAGAATGTTGTTGGTTGCAGGTGGCTCGAGTCTTTTATTACCTGTGTGTCATTGCACTGCAGTATGTGGCACCTCTGGTAATGCTGCTTCACACAACTCTGCTTTTGAAAACACTAGGTAGGCGTGCCCTGGCAACTGGGAAATGTTTTATTTTCTGTCTATGCTTAATAATGCTTTTTGTTACCTACAATGTAATATGCCTCTTAAAATCGTTTCTCCCTAAAAGTTTTAAGAGGAAACATGGGAAACTTTTAGCTGTAGAAGTAAATTTGTCATCTTGATTTTGAAAACTCAGGACCATATGGTTTTATAACGTTATGCTTTACTTACAAGAATTGTTTGCTAAAGGTTAATTCCCAAATTTACTAAGTAACTTGAGTGAGCACTGTTAATATTAGTTATTTTGTGTTATAAGAGGATGATTTAAGATTTTGTTAGGGCCTAACATTTAAATTATTACAAGATAGGTAATTCTATGAATTACAGAATCCTTTGGTGAGTTCTACTTGATAGCTCATATCTAAGATAACATATTATCTTATGACACAAGATAACTTATGTCCAAAGATTAAGGATTTCTCAACAGAAGAACAAAGTTCTCCTATGAGTCTGTGCACTAAGCTGTCGAGTCCCTGTGTGGTGTTATTCAAGAACTGTCTGTTGTTATATTGATCGTTTCCTTTTGCTTAGTTCAGGCAGTCTGCCAATGTGGGAGTTTAAGAAGCCCAAAGGAACTAAAAGTATTATTTGGGTGGGCTTAGTAGATAACATAGAGCTGGTGATAGATGTAAGTGTGCTTTAGGAATCTATGGCACGTAAAAGACTAGCACAGTTAGATTATGTGGCTCATATCCTGTCCAACATAGGAAAGTCTATGATAAAACAACTTCTGGAAGCTATTAATAGTCTCTCACATTGAAATCATAGATAGTTTCTGAGAAAGAAATTTATTCTGATATTCTAGGGGTAGAAAAGATTTCTAAGAAGTTATTGAGTCTGTCCCTGTCACTCCAGTAGAGGTAATTGATTCATGTGTTATACAAGGAAAAGTTGTTTTTATTATTTTACCAGATTTTAGTGCAGTTAATTAAAATAAGTTAGACTTTTAGCTTTTATGTGTACTTTTAATGATAAGACCAGATTGTGGTCTGGTCACATTGAGTTTTTTACCAGGTATGTAGAAAGATTATTATTTTACTTTATTTCAGCATAAAATAATTTTTTATATCATTAAACTTTTTGTTCTTAATTTCAAATGTAAGTTAAAAGAATTTCGTATTTTTTTTTTAATAATAAGGTTTGGAATTAGTTACTCTTCAAGTTTTAATTGTGTCTTGAATTTTCTAGGTAATCATTCATGGGGCATTTATCCAGAACCTGTCTCTACCTTGCCAGTGGATCATAGTCTGCCCTCCCATTCTGTTCACTCTGAATTACCGTCTGCTGATGGGAAGATGAAGGTGACCGTTACGCAAATAACAGTGGCCCTGAGCAGCTTAAAAAACATTTTCACTCCTCTGCTTTTTCGAGGACTTCTGTCTTTCTTAACCTGGTGGATTGCCGCTTGCCTCTTTTCTACAAGCCTTTTTGGGCTTTTCTATCACCAGTATTTGACTGTGGCATGAATCTCAGTTAACAAAAGGATATACTTTGAATTCAAGTATTTGTGCCCTGGAAGGGCTGGCGAAAAGCAGAAGAAAGCAAATACAAAGGAAAAAAAACATATCAGAATATCTTGTTTTAAATGCTTCCTCTGTATTCTCAGGGTGAATTAATGGTATATTATTTAAAATTATGGAATAGATTGTTACTGCTATACTGTGGCATTGGAATTTTAACTCCTTGTATTAAGAGATGTGAGAGGGCTATCCACAAGGGTAATGCTTCTGATTACCTTGGTTTACAGAAACCTCCAGCAGACTTTGAAACTTCTCATATGACTCCAGTTATTGATTGATTGCTCTTAATGGTATTAAGGTACTGTTAATATTCATAATGGCTGCCTATAGAACAATCTTCAAACTGAGCCATGCTTTAGGGGAGGGAAAGAAGCTCAAGTCACTTCTGTTGGTAATATGTTAGTCATTCTTCAGATGACAACAAAATCCAACAGAAAGGGAGAAATAGCTACTGTATATTACAGTAAAGAAAGCTGTATAGTAATTTTAAATTTAATGGACATGTACATGCTTGATATCTACAAGTACTGCTGCTTGAGAGTGGCAAGAATCTTGTTTTAAAATGTGTTCTGTCCAATTTGAGGGATCTATTAAAATGATTGGCTGTATGATCATTTGCAATCTTGCTGTTAGGTTTGGGCCTCCCATCTTTTATTTTATTCTATGATCCTAAATAGTTCTTTTTAATAGTCTAAAACTATTTATCAATATTGATCAGACTTTTAAAAAATTACTTTGTAATCCTGCTGACTACCTGTATGTATTATATATATATATATTATATATTAAATATATAATATATTGAGATTATAAAAGTTGAAAATATTGAATCATTATAATATTTTAAGTTGCTGAATGTATGTTAAAACGTGATTGAATGAGATGTATTTGTATCTAGAAATTTTGTTTCTTTTTGGAATGAGATTAAAATACATTTTGAAAGTTCATCAGAGCAAGCAATTTATTTGTGTTGCCTATGTGTGAGCGTACTTAAAATTTTATAAATACACAGGTGGTTTTTCCAAAATTAAAATTCTTTTTCTGTCATTTTCAAAAATTAGAACCTTTCCCATTCTAAACAAGTCTATAGGTATCATTTAAGCCTATATTAAATAAGGCTTGTTTTAAATTTGTAGTATTTAGAATTAGAAATACTAAATTTTTATTTTACAGGACAGAAACTGAGGTCATTTGAATGAAAAATTCAAATGAAATGAAAAAACAAGTTAAATTCTTTTTGATGCTTTTTACATCTAAAACTCAAAATGAAGGATTACAGTTATAAAGGGGATGAATATAAGAGAGAAACAGATTTTTTTTAAAGCAAATAGTAGAATTTATAAAAAATGTTCTTCCATATACTATCTTGAGATGCTATATATTATGTTTCAGTGCTATTGTTGCTATTGAAGGCAATTTTGAAACTCTTCTTTTGGAATACTTAAGGCTTGTGGTTCACATTCATTTGAATAATCTCAGTACAGCAAATTCCTGTCTTTTGGTGTAGATTAAATATTTTGGAAATAACTGATATATTAACTAAGACGGAGTGATAAGTGCTTAAGTTGTATAATACTCTTTGGTTGGAAGGAATTGTGAATATATCCTAATGATAGTTCATGTGTATTTCCAAGAGAAACATTCCAAATATGTTTTGAGGTATATCAGCATTACTAGAATAACTGTCTTATAACAAACTTACAGCAAAGTAGGACTTTTATTTTGTAAGTGAAAGTTCTCACATGTTGGCCTTACTTGAAAAGAATCTCACCTGGTATTTATAACTGTTCTTATTAAGGAGCTACATTTAAAAAATTAGAACTGAAGTTATTACTTTGAGTTTCAGAAATGGTACAGAGGAATAATATGGGAGGAAAAGACATAGGATTCGTTATTGGATGGAATAACATGTATTTCTAAAATACTAGTGATTCACTCATTTTAAACTTGAGTTCTCCCTAAGTAGAGTGTGAACTTGCACAAACTGCACATTAACTTAAGTAATGAGTTTTGTTTAGGTTTTTTTAGCCTTTCAAAGCAAATTTGATGAGAATGATGGTTATAGCTACTAACTGGTTTATTTAAGCATCTTGTCTTTGTACCAAGAATTATTTTCTGTAAGTGTGTAAGAGTTTGTACTTTATGTAAACCAAATAATATTTTTTTAATTGAGATATAATTGACGTATAACATTGTATTAGTTTTAGCTATGCAACATAATAATGATTTGATATATGTATACATTGTGAAATGATTCCAAGTAATATTTTAATATCCTAAATTAGGCCAGTAGAATTCTTTTATTTTTTTTTATTGGACTCTAGCCATTATGAATGCTTCAGAGGTCATTTATTTGTATTATATATTTTTGCCAAATTGACTAGGAATCCTTATAATCTTGCTTCGTATGATTTGTGGAATTTTATTTGACAATTTGTTTATTCCTGCCCCCACCCTACACCCCTTGCCCATTGCACTGTAATCAGAGCTCTATTCTCCCTCCTACCCCTGTTGATTTGTCTGAAATGAAAAGCATGTAATTTTATCTTAATATCCGCATGTATTTTGATTATCTTTGGTATTTTCCCCAGAATTCTAATGGCTATGCGTAAATGACCAGTGCATCCAAGCATAATGTGCTCATTATCTTATTGTTTCTGATATAAATATCATTGGTAAAATAGTGACGTTTCTTCTTGAGTTATGATTCTAAAGAGATGTTCATCCGTTAATGGAATCGATAGGTCCAGGAAGCAATAAGTAGAATTCATTATGAAATCTATAATTGGAACTTCACTGGATAGATTTTATTCTTTCAAATGAAAGATTAAATTCTCAGTACTACAAAGCACAGTGTCTCAACATTCTCTGAATTTATACACACTTTCTGAGCCATCTCATACTTGAAAATTGTCTATCATGGTATATGACTTCTGTTCAGCAAAATAAAACTAAGTGGTTTTTGAATGTGGATCATCCTGTGTCTCCACAGAGCTTTAGGTGGCTTAAAGAATCAGATTTAAACACACTTATGATCCTAGAGCTTGAACCCAGTGTCTCAAATAGTTGCACAATCTCATCTTTTAAACTCCCACTCATCTCATTATCTCTGCCCTGGGTTTATAGCTGAGTCGGTTGTGTGCCATGAAAACTCTGACATGGACACTAAGGATGGTCAAAAGGCTAATGTCCACCTTTCCCTTCTTATTTAAAATGGTAAACATATTCACTTATTTTTGTTTTCTTCTTAAGACAAAAGAAAAGCCAGATACAGCCTGTTCAAATGCTTGTCCTCTGTTACTGTTGGACTCCTTTTTTAGCCACAAACTATTATGTTGGTTGGGCCAATCTTTAATGATTCAAAGAGCATATACTTTTTCTATCCCATCGTTGATGTTTTTGTTTTGTTTCTTTTTTCTATATAACTCCCTGTAGGTAGTTCTTCACCTCCATTCTCCCATTTGGCAAAAAACTATTCATTTTCTTAAATGAAGTAGCAGGATAATTTTGTGCAAAGAATGTTAGTCTAAGAATCAGGAATCGTCTCTTCTCATCCCATTTCTCCTGTAATTAGCTCTTTTTTGCGCTTATTCAGCATTCAACCCATACTAATTAAATAGAACTGAATTATCATCACTGTTGACCTCAGTTTTATCACATGTAAAGTAAAATTAAGAGTTTACGTTAAATATATAGCTATATATTTCTAAATCTGATATTGATTTCTCTTTGTGTTAGCGTGGGAAAAATGAATAGCTATTTTTGGCTTCAGGAATGGTTACAGATCATGTTAATTAAAGGACATTCATTTATTGTTAGTTAAAAATTACTTCACAAAGAGTGTTTTCTCCAGGAATATTTTGGTTTGCACTCATTTAATTATTCAATTAATATTTATTGAGCGCCTTACATATAACAGTGAACCAAACGTCAAAATCCCTGCCCTCCAGTCTAGTGGGGCAGTCAAATATAGGATATGTTAGCTAGTACTAAGATCTAATGAGTGGGGGGTAGGGGGAATCAGGGATGGAGGAAAATGAAGTTGGAGGATAGGGATAAAGTTAAAATTTTATTTAATTAATTTATTATTTATTTTTTATTTTTTTAAGATTTCATTTTTCCTTTTTTTCCCAAAGCCCCCTGGTACATAGTCGTATTTTCAGTTGTGAGTCCTTCTAGTTGTGCCATGTGGGACACCACCTCAGCATGACCTAATGAGCGGTGCCATGTCTGCGCCCAGGATCCGAACCCGGGAGACGCGGAGCGTGAGAACTTAACCACTCGGCCACAGGGCTGGCCCCTAAAGTTAAAATTTTAAATAACATCAAGGGAAAGCTTCGCTGAGAAGGTGATTTCTGAGTAACGACTTGAAGGAAATGAGGACCATCGCAGTGTTTTTTTCTTATAGGACTGTAGTTCATTGGTAGACAAAACACCCTGATTGCTTGAACTTTGCTAATTGTGAGGTCACTAAAGGATTTTTTAAAAAGGGACGATATATATTTCTCTATTCAGTTGGTGTATTGTACAAGGATTATAGCCATTGAATTAAAAATGCTGCTTGTTTGCTAATAAACAGTAAAGCATACAACAAATATAATCGTGCGAGTCCAGTTTTTAGAGTTTTTCTGTCAAGTGCTTTTTAACCTAATTTGTACATTTGCATTTCATTTCAGTAGAACTTTTAAAGACTCAAAGGGTTTCAAAAGAACTGCAGGACCCTAGAGCAATACAATGTTTCTATTTGGCAGGCAAATTTTAACCACTGTTCTTTAATCTATCAGATAATCTGTTACACAAAGGTAATTACACAAAAGGTAACAAGGCTGAGGACAAATTTGGATTACTAACATCAAAATTTTAAATGTATAACACAGTTTGAATATGTTAAGTACCAACTGCTGAAGTATTAAAAATGAAGATGTATTTTTTTAAATAGTACTCGA